CGGGGAAACTAAACAGCCACTGGCCAAAAGGATGGCCCAGCACAGAAGATCAACATCATCAGGCCAGGACTCTGCGGTCTACACTCATCTTCAGGCCAGCGGTCACTCTTTCAGGCATGAAGATGTGCACATCCTGGATAGAGAGGAACGATGGTTTGAGAGAGGAGTAAAGGAGGCCATCTTTGTGAAAAGAAATTGTCCATCGTTAAACAGGGGTGGAGGCCTACGTGTTCAATTGTCCCCCTCTTACAATGCTGTGATTGCTAGTATCACTCAGCCCTCTGTGAATAGTAAACAGCCATCAGTGTGCTAATGATCCATTGTTAGGCTGATGGTCCTTCTTGAGCATGTGATCAGCTGGTTTTGGTTGTCAGCAGCAGAACTGGTTGATCCACTCTGAAAAGGTGCTATTTAAGAGACTGAGCTGAATACTGCACCTCAGACTGAGGAAGTCTCTCGGATGAGAGACGAAACGTTTCTACATTTTTTTGTTGTTTTGCTTTGTTTTGTTTTTTTGAATGTCCAGAGGACCAGATTTAACTTTTTTTAATTGAATTTATTTATATAACGCAAAATCACAACAAAGTTGTCTCAGGGCACTTTACAGGAACATTCACATACATAAAAGCCAATTAGTAAAGTTCTCTATGTAAGGAGGCCAGCAGACTCCAGCAGACTCCAGCAGAATCTTGGCTTCGTTGGTCTCCCATCCTGAGAAAGCACAGTGGCAACAGTGGAAAGGAAAAACTCCCTTTTTAAAGGAAGAAACCTCCAGCAGAACCAGGCTCAGGACAAGTGGCCATCTGCTTTGACTGGCTGTAAGTGAGATATCTGCATATGAGCATCAGAGCTGCTTCCATAAACTGACGTAAAGACGTCAAAACTAAGAAATGATTGTGGTGGGATACAGAAATGTAATATCAGATGTTTAATACACCATGCCCTTCCACAAAAAAAAAAAAAAAAAAATCTATGCTACAAAACTTACCAAAAACATCAGAGTGGACGATTAGTGCTTATATTAAACTTGTTGAGCTGCTAGTGAAGGCAAACAGCTCTGTAATAAAATAATTCAGTGTCTTTACAGGACTGTCAGATTATTTAGGTCGATTTCAGCAGATATCTTGAAATCTTTAAATTCAATTAAATTTAATTCAAAAATACTTTATTAATCCCAAAGAGAAATTATTTGTTGTTGTAACTCGTTATCCTCATTTCATTAAGATATGTTATAGATACTGATGGCTGTAAGCAGGAAGGATCTCTTATTCAATTCAATTCAATTCAATTCAAAAATACTTTATTAATCCCAGAGGGAAATTTAAATGTTGTTGTAGCTCATTTTCCTTGTTTCATAAAAGAGTTGTTCTAGATGTTGATGGTTGTGGGCGGGAAGGATCTCTTGTGATGGTCCGTCTTATAGCAGATCTGAAAAAACTGGCCACAGATGTTGATCCGTTTACTTGCACTTGGTTGGCCTCCTGGGCTTCAGGATCACCCGAATGTTGGGCAGAAATCCTCCCAGGGCAATGGCCACTCCTCCCAGCAGCTTGTTGAGCTCCTCATCGCTGCGGACAGCCAACTGTAGGTGCTGATGGACGATCCTGTCTTTCCGCTGTCATGAGCCGTGTTTCCTGCTAGTTCCAGGATCTCAGTGGTCAGGCACTCGAGCACAGCTGGCAGGTAGATAAAAATGCGTCCACAGAACATCCTTTTCAACTCATTTGAAATTTAGGGCTGTAGTTGAGATATTACTTGAGCTTTTGAGATGTTAATCAGCTGCTGTTGGTTGTAGAAACTGCCTTGTTGCCATGGTTACACATCATAACAAATGTCCAAAACTAAAAAAGTTTCAGTAAAAATCCTTCCAGCTGCACAGCATCCGATACCAGAGGAAACAATCATCCAAAAAATGTGATTTACATCCAGAAAAAGAGGAATTAAAGTTTCCAAAAGCAAAATATCAGAATGAAAGTAACAGAACTGCTCCAACATGCAGCCACAGGTCCATTCCACAGTGGATCCTAAGAAACTGGCTGCAGATGCCGTCCGATCCATCCACCCAGACTCGGCTGGCCTCTCGGTTCCCCCGGGCTGTAAGACCGACCGAATGATGAACAGAACTCCTCCCAGAGCGATGGCCACTCCTCCCAGCAGTCTGCCGAGCTCCTTGTCGCTGCGGACAGCCAACTGTAGGTGCTGAGGGACGATCCTGTTCATTCATGTTAATTTCATGTTCATTATTACTATTGAAAGAGTAAAGTCAAACTTTTCTACATAAACACAACTATCATGCACAACCTCGGCTTTATGACATGAAATCTTTTACTGTAATTGACTTATTTTCTTGCTTTCTGTCCATCAAAAGGTTTGAAACATCAGAATGTGTTCATGTGCTTATGTCAACAGCTTCTTCTGCTTCTAGATGGAGGCTGGAACATTCTGTATGACACCAAGATGATAGTCACCACACCGAGGAGGCCTCATCATCAGAACCTGAGATCAGGAGCTCCTCAGATGATCATAGAAGCACAAATATTTCATTATTTTATTCAAATTAACATTTAATACAAACTTTAGACATAACTGATGCATCATTATTATTATCCATTCCTTTTATGAAAATATTAATTCACAGTACGACCTGTTTATATTTTGTAACGTTTAACTGAGGGAACAACAGAAGGAGCCAGGTTTGTCAGTGCACAGCCTACGTGCACTATTTTCTCCAGAGGTGTAAGACCTTTAGAGGAATGGGATCTTCAGTCCCCAACAGACTCTGCAACATCAAACCCTCTGTCTGCTAAAACCACCTGCACTGAGACCAGAAGTCCTCTGAGAGCAAAACCAGACAGAAACAAAGATTCATCTTCAGTCACCTCAGTGTCAGCAGCGCTTGTTGAAAAAATAAAATGTATTAAAAAAGGCTGAAACTGTTTGAAACATGTAGGTCATGTCATATATGAAAACATTTCACCCGGTAAAATAGAGGTCAAATCAAATACATAAATACAAATATGTGAACACATCTGGGGCACGGTGGCTCAGTTGGTAGAGCTGCCGCTTCTCAGCGAGAAGGATGCAGGTCAAATCCTGGCCCAGGACCTTTCTGGATGGAGTTTGCATGTTCTCTCCGTACTGCATGGATTTTCGCCGTGTAACCCAGTTCCCGCCCACAGACCAAAAACATGCATGATTGGTAACTCTAAATGGTTCCTAGTTGTGAGTGAGAGAGTGGATGGTTGTTTGTCTTGTTTGTCTCTGTGTGTCCCTGTGATGGACCGGAGACCTGTCCAGGGTGTTCCTGTGATGGATTGGAGACATATCCAGGGTGTCTTCTGCCTCTCACACAGTGACTGCTGGCAGGGGTGGACTGGGGTAATATCCATGGCAGTGACGATTCTACTATCTGACCTTTCGGGTGCTTAGCCCTCAGTGTTGGCAATTGCTCTTGGCTTGAACAACGCAGTGGCCATTAGTGTCAGAAGTAGGGGTGCACCAATTTATCGGCCCCAATTTCCTTAACTTTGAGTGATCGGCAATTGACCAATACTTAAACGAGAAACCGATTTTACAGATTTTTTGTAGTTTTAACAGCAATTGTTTAAACTTCACTTATACTTCAGAGCATTACCTCATGGCAAGTTAAAACAAGTTTGCACTGTTTCTAGGACAGCACATATTCACACTCTCCAGGTGGCTCTGGTGCCAGCACCGCCATTGCCTCCTCCCACGCAGGTGCAGACACTTCATCCTTCCGCCCAGGTGGCGCAGGTGCAGCCCCTCTGTCCATCAGCCCAGGTGGCACAGGTGCAGCTGCTCCATCCATCTGCCCAGGTGGGCCTCAAAAGCTTTCAACTGCAGCCAACTGGCGATCCATACCTGCTGTACTCGCACCACGGGAGGAGGCAATGGCGGTGCTGGCACCAGAGCCA